ATGAAAACGTAAAACGAGGCATTTTCAATATTTTTTTTGTCAATTATGACCTCAAATTGGACCCGTAGGCCCAAAATGTCCCCCTAAACCTATGAACATGTTTTGAGCACGAAAATCAAAGATTTTTTAAAAACAATTAAATTTAACAGTTTTCTTGACGGAAGGTGGTAAAAAAACAGTTTTTAGAAAAAAAAAATTGGGTGGTAAAATAAAACTTTTAAAATTTTTGGTTGTAAAAAACAATTTTCGGGACTTTTTTGTTGGTAAAAGTCAAAAAATCCATATTATTAATATGTAAAAAAATTATATATATATAAATGCAAACCATAGGAACCATTAAAAAAAAAAGGAAAAAATTACTCAAAAGAATAACTCAATTTTGGTTTGCCAATGACAATGTCAGTTTAAAAAGCCTGTAATAAAATTTATCGATTGCACGTCTATAACAATAGCAATCCGGGCAACGCTCGAGCTACATACTCACTAGTTGTGTTGATTATTACACATGCAACGTACTTATATATACCCATCCGTCCCTATTTGGCACAACAAATTTAAGTGATTTTTTAGCAATAGTTAAGGATTAATTTATATTTATAGTTATTAAATATCAATGTTATTAAAATCAATAAACACATACTAAGCTAAGTGTCAATCCCGGTTGGAGCAAAAAAAAAAACTATCAAAAAATATATATAAAGTTGAATGACTGTATATTCTAATATATCACCTTTAAAAAAAACTATCAAAAAAATACTACCTCCGGTTCAAATTACTCGCAACTTTGGAATATTTTATATCTCACAAATAATACCCCAAAGTTGTGAGTAATTTGGACCGGAGGTAGTATATAAAGTTGAATGACAGTATATTTTAATATATCATCACCTTTATACGTAGTGTAAATAATAAAAAAAAATGTTAAATGCAATATAGAATAGGAAAAAAATGAAGATTTAACAAAAAAGAGAGTTTTTAAAAGGTAGGAAATTTCCAATCAAAAAATGACATGTGTCGTTCTTAAATTGGTTTTGCCTTAAATACTTGTAGGTACCTAAAAATGTCTCCACAAAATCAAACCCGATGATGAATAATTTTTCACCGCCATTATTAATCGGGTTAAGTATTTAATCTCGAAAGTGCTTAAAATCCATATTCAGTCAAACACAGTCTACAAATTAATCCAAGTATTTAGTCAAATTAAAGCATGGTCCAATTCTTCCTTATAGCCTTGATGTACACATTCTATACCATATTTTACCCTCATTTTATAGCTATGTTCGTATGATTTCTAAGCTCTACGGAGCTATTTCTCGCTAATATCCTCCTCTCTAGTGTGGCTTGGTCTATTTGATTGATTTTGTAGGCATATGAAGATTTCCGGATGATTTGGACTTGTTTTGGATAGCCACGAAAGCTTATTATGATGGAGGAGAATTTTACCCGTGTCCGCCCTGGAGGGCAACATTGCCCTGGCAGCCAGGGCGAAGAAGGAAATTAAAGAAGAGAAGTCACAAGAGATGGAAGTGTGAAGATGTTCAACTTCCATCCGCCCGGACCGGGCGGACAAAGTATTGTGCGAGGAAGCTAGATAAAGAAGCACTGGGCGAATTTGCTTCTCGCGCCCGACCGGGCGGCTTTGCCCGGTCAGACCGGGCGGAGTGTCGAAGACCGCGTTTTCCTATTTTTTTCGGGTTTTCTTAATTAAGGGATATAAATACCCTTTGTAAACCCCGACTTAACATACTTAGTTATTATTTTCTAGCTTTAAAACCTTCATTAGAACCCTAATATTCTCTCTAGATCTATATTACATTCCACTTTCAAGTTTTACTCTTTACTCATCAACAATTGGTACTTTTCTTCATTCAAGCAATTGGTATTCATCTTTATTTCTTCTCTTACTCTTAATTGCTTATTAATTATGTTTTCTTCATTGAATATTGTTTTTGCTTTCGTTAATATGTGTGAGTAGTTTCTTTATTCCAAGATCTAGCGGATCCCGAATATGATTAATGCATGATTTAATTCTTTAAATTCTCTAATAATAATTGTAATTTATATGCTTAATTGATTATGCTTACGCCAATACTAGATTAGGGATAATTGGTATTGTTATTAATCCTTTGTTCTAATCGCAACAGGAGTTGGGTTTTGACGGATTTGAATGAATCAATTAAGGGTTTGAAGTTCATCACGGGAGTAGTTGAATGGATGATTAGGAAGTTAGAGTAATGTGCTCAAGGTCTTTAATTTACATGATTCCACGGAAGTAGGCTTGATTGTGATTAGAGAAGCCATTGATAACTCGAGAGAGACCATTGGTATTATTCATGGATTACTTTTCCTCTTTAATCAATTAAATTATGTGTTAGGGGTAGAATGACTATTGCATTAATTGTATTCGTGGTGAAGCTTGATCTTGGATGTTTTTAGCATTGATTTGTCATATTGTTTTGATTTAATCGTTTTACTTAGTTCTTTAGTTATTGATTCTCATTCATTTGATTTGTTTACTTGCTTAGTAATTGCTCGAGTCTATTTAATTAGTTGAACCATAGTCTCTTGGGATCCGACCCTTGCTTGCCCGTCTACATAGTAGTGGTCTAGTTAGGTTTATTTTTGTTAGGTACGCGACACGCCTATCAAGCCTAAACCTTTTTATAATCCATTTCCTTTATTTATTATTTGAGCTCGATTAATAAATATTAAAATCCTAAACTTAAAATAGGCCTGGAATAGCTGAAATGGCACCTAATTATCCCGTACTTAACGTAAAATAAAAGATAAAAATGAATTTGAACGGAATTCCAGAAATATAATATGTCGCCCCATTGCAGACATTGTTGTGCCGCAGCAAACATTGCCATGCCACAACAATTTGGTTGACCCAGTTTTATCTTTTTACCCGTTTTGACCTTCAGAACTAATAGAATTATAGGTATCGTGCAATAGTAGTTTTACCGTGCCACGGTAGCTATGCCGTGTCACGATAATTTATTATTCTGCGGCGCCTCACTTCTAGGGTTTTGTACCACCCCTCACATTTCATCTATAAATACAAGGCTGATTTCACAATTTCGGGGCACCAACACACATCATGACCACCCTCTCTTTTATTCTAAGCCTTAAACCTATTTTCCTAATCACACTATTCCTCCCTTAAGCACTCCCCAGAGTTCATACAATATCTAAAGTTCCGTACATAAATTAAACCAAGGCGTGAAAGATAGAAATGATTGAGAGTTTAGACCAAATCAACTCTACTTTAATTTAATTTCAATTTGATTTATTATTCTTTGAAATTACTAACGTTTTATTCATGATGTCGCAATTTAAAGAAGCGTGGAACGTGAGTAGTTTATTTAATTACTTACTCTTATTATTTTTATTGCTAGTATCATGATTAAGGTTATTATACTTTGATTTGACTAAAGATAATACTGTTTATTCTATTGTTTATTGTTGATCGCCATATTGCATGTTAAAGGGAATATACAATTATATATAACGCTTTATAAGATAATTTTGTATGAGATGTTGAAGAAATAATTACTTTAATAAAAATACTTAATTTTTTTTTTTCAATTCCTCTAGCTAATATTTTAATTCAATTTCAATATGACTATAAATTCAAATTAATTATAATTTTGTTTTTGAGATTTTACTACTACGTATATAGTATTACAAATTAAGGAATTGTAGAGTATAGTATAACTATAAAATAAATGTTGTGTTTGACAATTATATCATATGTCTAATTCTAGGAAAAAGGTAAAATATCAATTAATTTTAGTCTAATATTACGAAAAAGTCAAATATCATATGTTGCTTGGTTAATTTTTTATTTTTATTAATTAAAAGTTTATTTATAATAAGTATTTACTAATATGGCCCCTAGCTAGACTAGATCAAACCAATTTTTTTAAAAAAAAATTCTCAGATTTAGGCAGTCCAAAAAATCCATTTTTATTTAATTTTATGCTTGCCTATTAATATAGATTATGACATTATAATTTCTATATTTGATGGGTAATTGTGTATGTCTTATCAAATTTTATTTATTAGATATTTCTACAAAAAATAGACTACCTATTGTGCATGACACGAGCTTAAATTAGTTATTTTATAATTTCTCTCTTCCACTAACCTCACTTTTACAAATATTTTATTATTTTTCTTTTTTACCAATCCCACTTATACAGTTATACACTTATACCACTTTATATTATTTCTCTCTCTTACCAACAATATTTTTTATTATTATACTAGTAACCTATAAATTTTCTTAAAATTTGGAAACAGAGAGGGAGCATTAGTGATGCATGGTACATTGGTACACATGATAACTATGGAGCAGTGCAACACATACACCAAAATCCAATATTGTACTACGTATCATACTATCATGATTCATGAGTAGGGATGTCAATGGGGCGGGGCGGGGCGGGGCGGATGTTGGTCTTCCCATCCCCATCCCCACCTAATATTTTCATTCCCATCCCCATCCTCATCCCCGCGGCGGGTCCAATTTTCATCCCCATCCCCGCCCCACCGGGTACAACTCCAAAACTATCCCCGCCCCACCCCCCACTTGGATATCCATCCCCACCTAATCCCCACCAAAGATCCGCCTAATTCCCACCCAAAATCCACCTAATATCCGTATCTCAAATACACAATCTTACATAATTAATACGAATTATAAAATAAAACATTCTATACACATTTTTGTGTTATAATATAAGTGTCGTACAAAGTATTATAATTAATATTGTATTTTATGTAATTATTTTATAAATAGAATAAAAGTATGTAATTTTACTTTAAAAGATATATAGATGTAGGTATGAGGTGGAGATGGGGCGGGTACGAAGTGGGGCGGGTGGGGCGGGTGGGGCGGGAATGAGGCGGGTACAACTTAAAATCCACCCCCGCCCCATCACCCATGACGGGTATGGTTTTTATCCCCATCCCCGTCCCACCACCTGCCAAACCGAGACCCATCCCCGTCCCACCACCACCATGACGGGATGGGGCGGGTCTCCTACTTGACCCGCCCCACTGAATAGTATCATCTTCTTAAGAACTCTCTAGAACCTACGCTCTAAACTTCAAACTGATACTCTACTCATCATCTTCTAAGTCAATCAATTTTCTCATTTCAAATTAACCCTGAATTTTTTGAGAGAAGAATTTAGCAAAAATGGCGGATGATATTTCACCGGACTTGGAAGAGCTTCGCAACCTAGAAAAGGTTCTTCTTCATCTTTCTTTTTAACAAATTTCTGTTTATATGTTATATGAAGTAAATTTTGATATCTAGGGTTATTGTGTTTGAATTGGTGATTTTTCTTTTTGAAAGAAATACAATTAAATAATTGTTTGTGTCTGAGTATTGTGTTTGAAATTTCAATTTCAATTTTTCATATATTTTGTCCTGATTTTGCTGTTTACATGTATATAAATTACAATTGCAATGATAATTGCTTTCAGTTTTAAAGATGAATGCAATTCAAGCTCAGATAAATTTTGAAGTTTAAATATAATTTGATGGAATCAATTCTTGCTTTTGAGGAAAAATTCAAGAAAATGATTGTGAACTTCTCTATGCTTTTGTTCATATATTAAGATTTGTTATTGATATAATATTCAATTTTTAGTTTGTATAGATGAACAGTTTAAATGCCTTGTTACTGATTTGAAATGCTGCTAAATTTGAATGGTCAATTATAAATGATGAATTTAGATGGTTAACCTAATGGTTAAGAAATTGTTATTACTCCATACTTATTTTTGTCAAAATCGAACCAGACCATAAATATTTTAATCTGATCAGTCAAGAACTATTAATATTCATTAACTTATTACTATATATCTCTAATTGCATATTGATGATGTTTTTAGAGTGAGGGATAGCTCAAGTGATTAGGTCCGGGGGTCGATTCTCATCCCTGCCCTTGTGGCTCTCTAAATAAATATACATCGTGCAAATTGATTTGAATAATAAGTTCCCACATATTAATGTAATTTATTGTACATTATTGTAAAATAGTGGTTAAAGTTTAGTCAGACTATATTAAGCGTAACAGATTAGAAAATTAAAATTTAGACAACACCACACTGTCCTTAGTAAGTTTAAACCTGAACACCTTATTGACGGCTTTTGTCGTTTGGAGACATTCGTGGAGACAAGTAGAGTTGAATGAAGCACCTATTATAAATAATCTTGTAATAAAGAATGCTTTTAGATTTGATTGGGCATATTGAAGTGACATATTTTCAGTCTTTAGGATATTCTTTCCTATAATCACTTTGCTTTTTCTACAATTTGGAATACCATATGTTACTTTGTACGTTGCAATTTTCCTCTTACAATGTAATTGTTATCAAACTTAAGTCTTATTTCTGCTCTGGTAACTGAGTTTCATATAAATTATGTCCAAATCACGTCCGAAAAAAAAAAACACCTTAGTTTATTTAAGTTGCTGTTCACCCAGATCATGATATCAATAAGTGTTTTTCTTAACCACAGTCCGAGACAGCTTTGGTGGCTGACATGTATTCGACTTAGTCAAAGAAAGTGCCAAAGTCTGCTGGTTATTAGAACATCTTGAGAATATATTTGTATATGGGAAAAAAGTATGTAGCTGTGCAAACCCAAACATTGCTATAGTAGTCAAACAATTCTTCATTTCCTTCCACTTGATCCCTCAATTCTGTTTTTCTTGTGGAATTGGATATAGGCCATATTGTGTCACTCTGTCAGATCCTCTTCACAATTTTAAATGTTAGATTACTGGGTGAATTGATGGAACAAACAAAACTCCAATATATGTTTTACGTAGTATTTCTAATTCACATGGATATTTTCATTAGGATATTTAAGACATATTTCTTTTGGTTCACGAATATTATTTCCTTGGGTTTTCATTACTTGAATGCCAAGGAAGTGCTTCATGATACTATATCTGTCATCTCTCATGGTGGAGACTATGGAGACCGCCCCATGAAAGAACGAGCATGGCTTAGTCAACACCGGCTATGGATCCTACATTGGTGGGAACCATGGATACCTGTGGCCATGGGATGTGTGCTTTCGAGGGAACTTGGGAAATAGGATGGCCTAACCATGACTATCTTAAGAGGACCATAGTAGTAGGGACTCCTTGACAGTTAACTTAGTCATTGCGGGAAGCATGCGGTTGCTAAAAGCTTGCATCATGGATTATTTACTTGTTAAACATGTTAATTGGCTTTTTACTTCCTCCATTCTTATTGAAATGTTATTCAATGATAGATTTCTTGTAAACATCATTATGTTAATATGGTATCATTTGGGCCTTTCTCTTAGTTCAAACTGTGTGCTAATCCATGTCCACACAATAATGTATAAGAATCTAATTTTGATATTTGTATAGTGTTACAGGCTGGGCAATTTTGCTCAAACTCAAGTACCCATGTCTAACATGGGTACATGTCAAGTGTCCGACTATTTTGTGTGAAGAATTCATGATTTTGGTAAAAAATGAAGGAACAAAGTTTCCTACCTATATCCCTGATTCGACATGGATACTTGATGTAATATGATGAATCCGAGTATGCTACAGAATTCTACATATAGAATTGAAGTTTGAGAATATATCTGGCTATGAGTGCTTTCTTTCAGCTGTTGCAAGCATTGGCAAAGTATGGAGTATGGATTTAAGTGTTGTGAACTTAGTTACTGCTTGTTACCCATACTTGACTGTTGAAGAGTGTATATTTGTTCTATCATTATCATGTATTGAGTTTAGCCATTTTCTGGGTAGCTGAAGGCCAATGTGTGATTGGGCAGTAGCATTCGAAAGGTCGAATTATAAGATTGCTTTCAGGAATTCAGGGGCTATCATTATCTACTTTATGTCTTTCATCTTGATATTTACCTTATACACAGTTTAAATGACCTTCTTGGGAAATCATGAGTACAAATCTCAAATTATCAGATAGCTAAATCATCATTTTAAGGTAATTTGCTTCATTTACTGTTGGTTCTACAATCATTAGATCTTTATTTTGATTCTGATTGTCTATGACATTTTTCGTGCATAGTTATCAAAAGAAAAGGCTTCTTCTTCAGCTCCCCTGCATCATACTCCAATTCCTGTGGCAACGACAAAGGTTCCTTACTCTCCAACACAGACTTATTCTACTCTTCCATCTTTTAGCTGGGAACAGGACAATGATAAAGTAAAGGTGAGGATCTGCACTTTGTTCTCAAGGTAGAAATTTTTTTATCAACCTTATGCCACCTCATAATAGCCCAGCTTTGCGCTCTTTATTTATTAGTAGTCCTTACCTAGGTCTCGTAGATGAAGAGTAATTACAAAATTTTTAGCTCCGTTACACCTATTGATCTTTCTAAATCTGGATACTGATATTCATATCTGCATCTTGCAGATACATCTGTCTCTAAAGGGAGTGCAACAAGAAAAGATGGAGAAAAACATAAACCCAAATTCTATTGAGTTCAAGTTTCATGATGTTCAGGGGAAAAATTATCAATTTGCCATACCCAAATTGAGTAAAGATATTGTTCCAGTCCAAATCAAGGTCAAAGTCAAGCCCACAAGGGTAATTGTACATTTGGTTAAAGCTTTGAAAGGGAAATGGCAAGATCTGCATTACAAGGAGGACAAGGTAATTTTTTGTTACTATGATGTAATTTACTCCCTCCATCCCAAAATATTAGGCCATAATTTTATGCTCCAAAATCATAGGCGACTGTCTAAAATTTTTAAGCTGACTTTTGTACTGTCTCATATTAGCCTTTTGACTTGTTTAATAGACAGTATTAATTATATCTTTGTAAATAACTTATATCATACAATTCATGGTATGTTGCTCCTTCCCTAACCATGTATGAATAAAATTTCATTACTATGGAGTACTTTAGTAGTGGTTTTAACTTTTAAGTGGTGATCAATATCCACGATGAACTTGAAATACTCTGGGGGTACACATGCTATAATCAATGTGGCATGAGACTTCCCTTGTCAAACTATAAGTAAACATATTATGATTATCCTCATTTTATATTGCATGCCATTTGGGCTGTGAAATATTATTTGTTGACTAAGAAACTCAAATTACAATGGTGGTGAAAGTTTAAAATCAATTTTATGAAAATGATTTCCAATCACATGTTAAAGTTTTAATATTCAAGTATTGTTATGTGTGGTTTTCTTATTTATTTATTTTGTTTTGTGCAGCTGAAGCCGAATCTAATCAACGAAAAGGATCCTATGGCTGGCATAATGGATCTGATGAATGTATATTCTAATCTTTACATTGTTGTATATTATGGTGTTGATTAATGGGCAATCCTGCAAGCTATACTGTTGTTCTGGGCTTGATTTAGTGAGATTACAGGAATGACTTCGAATTATTTCTGAAGTTCATAGGCTTTGATATTTGCATTAACATGTACTTCCTCAATTTTGCAGAATATGTACAAGGATGGGGATGAGGAACTGAAGAAAGCCATTGCTAAAGCTTGGACTGATGCAAGATCCAAGTAGACTGCCGATTCTCTGAAGAGATACCGTTGAAGATCTGTAGGCTATCAGAAAGTGCATAGGCATCAGTTAGGGGATTCTGATCCATTTTTGTCACAGTATATGGGATTTTACTTGCATAAATTTCTAAATTGCTTCCTTGGGCTCTTAGCTGTTTACATTCTCTGCTTTCTGGCTGTCTTCGACCTTGTTGAGGGGTTTGAATGGAATTGGGGTAAGGATTCTGTGTTGTATCTAGGCTACTTTCATGAAGCTTCTTTGCCATTTCATTCAATATGTTTGTTTGAAAGGTTTGAAACTTTGAACCTTCTTAATTGTCTTTCTTAACTTTGCTAAATCGCCACATTCTACTGGTACAATTTTGCTAAATCGCCTTTGGCATTCATGTAATGCAAATAGAAAATGTTGATTCTTCATATGACATCAACATGTACATTTGTTTTTTTACTTGCAACGAAGTGAGCTGGAACAAAATTCAAGGAATAATAGATTTGTAGTCCAAACAACAAATTATTTTATGTCTAGCTTCTACCCTGTCTCATACAACCGATGATGTGTCTTATTATTCTCGTATAGTATGTCACTAGATGAAATCCATGTACGGTTTCTTTGAATTTTTTGAAACAAATATTTGTATTATGTGATAAATTTGATATTATCATGATGTCAAAAAAAAAAAAAAAAAAAAGATAAATTTGTTATTTTATTTATTATATGATAGGATATAAATTTAAATATAGTTGTTATAATTATAATTTAGGAAACCTTTATACGACTTTCTAGAGTTTAATAAAAGTTTCCTAATATGCGTTAACATCACAAACAGATAAAATTAAAGAAACAAGAAAAGGGTAAATGTGTTTCAATCCAATTAAGAATTGTAAGTTGACTTAAACTAAAATACTTAATCCAAAGTGATCAGTAATAGGAAATAACCAACCGACCTCAATAACCTATATATACCCCTCTATTAACCTCAGTTTTCCTCAATTTCACTACTGGTTTTTTTTTTCATTGAAGTTCTTGTACTAAATTCTAAGAACTCTTATATTTCTCTCAATTCTTCGTAAAACAACAATACTCACAACCTCAATGGCTAATCCTACTTCTTCTGATCATGCCCAACCTTCTTTGTACGATTTCTTACTCTCGAAATTATTCTAATGTTTACTTGTTATTTTGTGTTAATATGATCTTAATTCAATATAGTTGACGGATGTAATTTGTGGGTGTTTTATTTAAATAATGATGTATGATTTGCTATAGTTATGGGGTTTTTATGTTGGATTTTTGCCAAAAAAAAAAAAAAAAAAAAAACTGAATTTACGCTTTGATTTTGTGTGATGATTATCATTAGATTTTATAGGATTACTAGGTTAAATCCCGTGCCATGCACGGTCATAATTAAACTTTACAACAAAATTTATAAAGAATGGTGTTAATTCAACAAATTTATCCAAAAAAAAATATTTGTAACAAAACAATAGTCTCTAATTAAAGATGTTGATGGTTAAAGTTGTGTCTCAACAAATGTGCAAATCCAACTATAACTTATAAAAAAATGGAGGAGTATAATATAATAAAATGATTTTGTTAAGCTGTTCTTATAAACGTTATGTATATTTGTAAGATTTATACAAATTATCCTACCAAAATTGTTGTTCCTATTTTAATGAAAATAAATTTGAAGTCGGAGGAAAAAAAAATTATAATATTATTATGATAATCTTAGATGATGATATATGTCAATACCTTAATTTTAAATTATGTTAGTATATTTGTAACTAAAATATTTATAGTATATAAAATATACTTTGAAAAAAAAAATTAATGGAGTATGATTGGATTAAATGTGTTGTCAAAATGGAAATAAGTATCATGGTAGGTTATAAAATGGAAGTTATTAAAATTTGGCCAAAAAAAAAGGAAAGAAAAAAAGGTGGGAAAATTTTTTATAGCATCATGACAAGTGTCACTTTAGGTTCGCTTTTAGTATAGGTTAATTGATGATTATGCAAATAATTTTCAGCATTAAATTTTGCTTCAGAATAATCTGATATTAATTGGAAGTCTTTTTTCTTTCTTTCTTTTTTTTCTTTATTTTTTTTAATCGACTGAGTTCATGTACATGTACATTAGTCTTTCCAAAATTGTTAACTTTTTTTTTTTAAGGACTTTAAAGTTGAGTAATTTCTAAAATTTGCTATACTATGGTCAGTTTTATTGGTTCTTTATACATATAATTTTTGCATAATTAAATGATTAATGTGAATTTACTAATTATGTGGTACTAACTATATGGTACTTTGTAGTATGTTTTTTTGGACTAGCATTACTTTGAGATTCTATGTTTATAATTCAGTTACAGTTAGTAATTATGTATTAGGAAAATTTGATAATTACCACCAACTATTGTTGTCAAAATTGAAAATACCACATCAAGTTTTTTTTAAAAATTTTACCACCTAGTTTTTTCCAAAAGTTTTCAAATTCCCACCTTTTGTGCGACATGACGTCATCATGCCGATTTCCCTCTTTCTTCCCACGATTTCCTTCCAATTTCATCTTTAAATTTGATTTCAAATACAAAATTTTCGCAAATTAGCTTATAATTGCTACAATCTAACCTACAACGAACTGAATTAAGTAGTTTAATTAGGGTTTGGGTAATCAATTTGGGGGTTTTGCTCAATTCAAAAAATTAGGGTTTATGAATTGATAAATTGGACAATTAAACATGTAATTGGGGGAAAACATAATTTAAACTTGTAATTGGGGCGAAAACACTAACATTGTAGTGGTGATTAATGAATTCATAAACCCTAATTTTACATGTAATTGGGGCGAAAACACTAACATTTTATGAATTACATGTTTAATTGCCCATTTAAATTATGTTTTTACCCTAATTACATGTTTAATTGTCAAGTTATTCATCCAATTAATGAATTCCTAAACCCTAATTTTTCGAATTTAGCAAAGCCCCCAAATTAATTACCCAAACCCTAATTAAACTACTCTATTCAGTTCGTTGTAGGTTAGATTGTAGAAATTATAACCTAATTTGCGAAATTTTTGTATTTGAAATCAAATTTGAGAGATGAAATTGAAAGAAGGGAGTAGAAGAAAAGGGGAAATCGAGGGAAGAAAGAGGGAAAACGAAAGTGTGGGTCTCATGATGACGCCATGCGGCAAAAAGGTGGGAATTTGAAAACTTTTGGAAATAGGTGGTAAAATTAAAAAAAAAAAAAAAAAAAAAAACTTGAGGTGGTATTTTCAATTTTGGCAACAATAGTTGGTGGTAATTATCAAATTTTCCTATATATTATGATCTCCAATGTTTTAAGTTGCAATATATATTACAAAGTAGTGTATTTATGTACATTTGATTTTGTTACAGGAAAAGTGACAAATACTCTACTGCAATCCTTGAACGAAAAAAGGCTCCGAATCGTTTGATCGTTGATGAAGCAACCGTTGATGATAACTCATTGGTTTTTATTAACCCTGCTATCATGGATACACTCAACTTGTTTCAAGGAGATACAGTGTTAATTAAGGTAATTTTCGGTCGATTTGTATGTTGGACTGTTTCTTGTTATATAAGTTTTAGTTCTGAAAAATTATATTTTTTGGTACAGGGTAAGGTAAGGAAGAATACAATATGCATTATACAGGGAGATGAAGGGTGTGAAGAATGCAAGATTAGGATGAATAAAGTTGTGAGGACAAATCTTCGTGTTCGCCTTGGAGATGTTGTTTCTGTCCATGAGATATCAGATGTAAAATATGGTGAAAAAGTTCATATTTTACCAGTCGATGATACTATTGAAGGTGTAACAGGCAACCTGTTTGATGCTTATTTGAAGCGTAAGTTTATGCAACAATGCACAAAAATCATAGTTATAGTTATCTCTTATGTTGTGTAGTTGTGTTGTTTATTCTAATGGATTTTGACCTTTTTTTGGTTTTGTTTGTGCTTTAAACAGCTTATTTCATAGATGTTTATCGTCCGATTAGGAAAGGTGATCTATTCTTAGTCAGGGGAGGAATGCGAAGTGTTGAGTTTAAAGTGGTTGAGACTGTTCCTGCAGAATACTGTATTGTTTCTCCTGATACCGAGATATTTTGTGATGGTGAACCAGTTAGGCGCGAGGATGAGGAGAGACTAAATGAAGTTGGTTATGATGATGTTGGTGGTGTAAGGAAACAAATGGCTCAGATTCGCGAGCTTGTTGAACTTCCTCTTAGACATCCTAAGCTCTTTTCTGCTATCGGTGTTAAACCACCTAAGGGAATTCTGCTGTATGGACCTCCTGGTACTGGTAAAACCCTTATTGCCAAAGCTGTTGCTAATGAAACTGGAGCATTCTTTTTCTTGATTAATGGACCGGAGATCATGTCGAAAATGGCTGGAGAGAGTGAGAGCAATCTGAGGAAGGCATTCGAAGAAGCTGAGAAGAATGCCCCTGCTATCATTTTTATTGATGAGATTGATTCAATTGCTCCTAAAAGAGACAAGACAAATGGTGAAGTTGAAAGGCGCATTGTTTCTCAACTGTTGACGTTGATGGATGGTCTTAAGAGCCGTGCTCATGTTATTGTCATGGGTGCTACTAATCGTCCTAACAGTATTGATCCTGCTCTTAGAAGATTCGGAAGGTTTGATCGTGAGATTGACATTGGAGTTCCTGATCAAGTTGGGAGGCTGGAAGTTCTTCGCATCCATACTAAGAACATGAAACTTGCAGAAGATGTAAGTTGTGTATTTTGTTGTATTTTTGATGTTGCATTAAGCCACTTTTGAGGTTTGAATACCAGAGTAGTTAGTTCATTGTGCATCAACTTATATTTGCTTAATTTGTTTTCAGGTTGATCTTGAAAAAATATCCAACGAAACCCATGGCTATGTTGGTGCAGACCTTGCTGCTCTTTGCACAGAAGGAGCTCTTCAGTGTATTAGGGAGAAAATGGATGTCATTGACTTAGAAGACGAGACAATCGATGCTGAGGTACTCAACTCTATGGCTGTCACGAATGAGCACTTTCAAGCTGCTCTGCAAGCTTCCAACCCATCAGCCCTGCGTGAAACAGTAAGTTTCGCTTTTAAATTTCCTGAAATCATACTACTTGAATTGACCTTGGAATACTGTATTGTGAAATTTGGGAAGTCTTTTCTGTTGCTTTTATTTTGTTGTCTTCTGAAATTGTAAAATCTGATCAATTTTTGTGTGTGGCAGGTTGTGGAGGTTCCCAATGTTTCATGGGACGATATTGGTGGATTGGAAACTGTCAAAAGAGAGCTTCAAGAGGTATTTTATTCATACAAGATTTTGGCATATTGCAAGTCAATGTCTTCTTTTTCTTATTGGATATTTACACCTTCATGTTTCTGTTTGCAGACTGTGCAATATCCTGTGGAGCACCCAGAAAAGTTTGAGAA